AGTGTTATTGAGGTGTTTGCCATAGAGGGGTAGTTCAATCAATGAAGTTTTTGAGTTACATTGATTGAGATGGCTAGGAAATGTGTTGCGTATTCCGAGCCACTGCCTTTCACGGCAAGCGATGTCAGCTGACATACGATTAGGCTGGAAAAGAGTTAAGGTTGACCAAACCAAAATCTAGAATAAGTTGATAAAGTATTTTACTGTCTGTTTGAGCCAGCCAACGAGGTAAGTGTAGACTGCACAGTTGGCATCCTGAGGATGCTAAGGACCAATGGTTGAAGACTATTGGTGATATAGCCTAAAAACTGTTTTGGCTGACTCAGATGTATTCACCCTTTGTAATCTGATATATCCACTAGACCATCACGTCACTACTAACCACGCATATGGTTCAGGGTTCAATTCTCGGCCGACGTACTTCTATACCTCGCTAAGCAGGTAATGGGATCAGTAAAGAGGGAAGGTTGGGTATGAGGCTAGCAACTGCATCCCATAAAAATAAACATCATTACTACCGAAACTTCAAGCCCTATGTTCCACTGGGAACGTAAAGGAATAATGATAAAAAGTTCTTTTTCTCATACATTTGTTCTCATTGTAGTTTTGTTCACTTTATCTCCTGTTTCTCTCTTATGTCTACCCTGTGTGTTGAATGAAATGTGTCAAGTTTAACTTGTGTACTTGTATACAAAGCTCTGTGTTGAAACTTAGTCAACTAGTGTTATTGAAAAGCATTCTATTGGCGTGTGAAATTGTTTTTCTCTCATCTTATACCTGTTTTAATTACTACATTATTCCAAAGTGGATAAAGTCCCTGCCATACGTGAAGTACAATTATATTAATTACATACTAATAGCGTACCTAGTTCTCAAACATGTTAACTAATTTTCTATTACGAGTATGCAGTAATATTTACTGATGACATTTCGAGCAAAATTTATTGCTCATAACCATATCAAGGTGATGATGATGATGAAACAATGGTTAGTTTTGATATAACTAGTCTTTACACCAATATACTAATCAATATGGCACTAGAAGCGGTTAAAAGAGAACTAACTTCTGATCCCGAACTTAATCATAGGACAAAGCTGCCTATCGAGAAAATTATTTTAGGGATTCAGTTATACCTCACATCTACTATCTTTAAGTTCCAAGGCAAAATATATAGACAAACAGAAGTGTAGCAATGGGATCACCAATACCCCCTATCGTAACAGATATATTTATGGACAGCTGGGAAAATAGTGCTCTTAATACATTTAATCCTACTCCAAAAATATGATGGAGATATGTGGATGACACTTTCACAGTGTTAAAAACAGAACATATCTCTAGCTTCTTGACACATATAAACTCACAAGGAGAGGGAATAAAATTCACATTTGAATCAGAAAGTGAACTAGGAGAATTAGCTATGTTAGATTGTAAAATAAAACGAATGGAAGCAGGTAAATTACACACTAGCGTTTATAAAAATCCAACAGATTCTAATAGATATTTAGGCTTTAATTCATCTCATCCCTTAACTGTTAAGGCAGGCTTAGTGGTTAGTGTCTAACAAACCGAGCAGTAGCACTAAGTAGTATAAGAAAAGACCTAAATGATGAAATAAAATGGATAGGAGAAGCCTTGGTATCAAATAACTATCCTATAAAATTCATTAGAAAGATCAAAAAAGGCCAAACGAAAAATCACAATAATTGTGAAACTAGTAATGATAACATAAATAAGAGTGAATATAACTCAGCTACTGTTATGCCATAGAAGGATGGGACATCTGAGACTCTACGTGGGATTCTGAATAAAGCAAGAATTAGAGTGGCATTCAAACCTACAAACTCACTCAGGACAAGCTCTGTAGGTTTAAGGACCCTGTCGGTTGACCAATTAGACAAAATAATATAATTTACAAAATACCCTGCAATGACTGTGAGTTATGTCGACTACATAGGTTAAACTAGTAGGTAGGGGGTAGTCAGATTATCGGAACATAAGAATTTAGCTAAAGTAGGAATGGTTGACCCCGAGAAGATAAATAATTGAGAAAAAAAGCTCAACAATTGCACTGCATGCATTAACACACAACCACACAATAGGGTGAGAGGTGGTTAAAATTCTAAGAAGTAATCTAGGTAGCTGGAGAGTGAGAGAGGTTGATTACTGAATCCTTGTTCATCGAGTCTACACCGAACACAACACATGGAATAGGAATGAGTGATCACTCATACTGGAAATATGGAAAATACTACTACCGATCAAATCAAGCGACGAAAATTAATGGAATTATCTAAACGGTGTTGGAAAGTTGAGTGAGTGGTATCTTGATATGATTATGAGTGGTAATAAATTGTTCTCGAATCGCCATCATTGTTTCTTTACTTATTCAGTGAAACGGGAACGAAATGGTATTTTGGTGTGAAGCACATGCTGGCATGCGTGGTCTAACGCTGCGTGTGTCGGTGTCATGGTCATGTCGGTGGCACAGTGGTTAGGACTCTCGCCGACCATGCACATGATCCGGGGTTCGATCCCCTGCCGACTCACACCTGATATCTATGGTTGGCCTGCAAAATTTGGGCTACCGATATCCATGCCGAAAGTTCCATACTTGTACCAAAAATGCAATGTGGAATCAAGCTGTAATCAAAAATAAAATAAAATATCACTGCATAACACTGTGGACTTTATCAAAACAAATTTTACCCATAATGGAATTATGTTCTACCACAGTGCGCAATTTTTTACTCATATCTGAATTATATTCACTAAGTTCTATTTTGTGTTACGAATACTTTGTGAAAATTGGAGTACAGTTTGTTTTTCTTACAAAATTTCTCTACATTATAAAACAGGTAGTAAGAATTACTTGTTACATAATCGGTGTATATGTGTGACTAATTTCTGTGTGCTTATTTTCCGATATCTGACTTGAAATTATAATTTTATTATCGTTCAATACAAACACTAAAATGTCTTCATTTCTAGAGGCATGTATACACTGAGACAATCATAATATATGCAGTGTTGTACGTGAAAAAGCCTTATGGTATATTCACCCATATCAGAGTTTGTAGTTTCGAATCATTTCTACTGTTACTGTCTACTGCTACTTATTTTAACACTCCGTTTGTCAACTGCTGCTGCTGGTATATTTATTGACAGTCTCGTTGTCTTTGAAATAATAAAAATCACAAAATATAAAGTACTTACTGTCATTGGATCATTTCACATACTTTTTGTGATGTTCAGAAGCATAAAAACCAATTTTAAATGTATGCTTATTACACAAGTTCCATATGCAAACTGAAGTGTACTTAATTAACAGGTTTTATACCCAGACTAATTTATTCTGTGGATAAACTGCACATATACCTATAGAAATTTTTAAAACATCCTTCAATATGATTACAACAGGACAAGTAATAGTGCATAGGCAATATCTACTAGACATCGTAGTTTCGTAGTTAGCGTATACAATTTCTGGATTCATCTGTTTCCAATGTAGATCTCATCATAAATTAACAGTCAGAGAAGTACTGAAAACTAGGGAACGTTGGATAGCTGTTTCTTTCTAGTGTGGGTCTTTGAATTGCTGCTCGGTAGCAACATATTTGCCTCGTAATCTCAAGGGTCATCGGCGGGCTTGTTAACACATAAATTTGATTTCTCAGTTAAGGAGTTCACCGCTTTCCGTTATGCCATGAGAAAGAGAGGTGTTTACGATTCTAAAATGTTTGGTATAAAAATATATAATGATTTGTTGCAAGTAATAGTGTCTCTTGAAAGCATAACTACTAACAGTTAACTCGCCAAGTTGTCTGGATCAATGTGTTTTTACATTCAGAGGATGATCTCTCTCAATATTTTTTTTTCATTCATGTTATCACTTTTATAAATCATAATGAATCTTACCTGATAGTACTTACTAACTACTAACCTATAAGTTTTCACTTGATAGTTATTTCACTTGCTCACTCTTTCAAATATCCAGAAAAACCCTTGTTGTAATTCCCCATGTTGTTCGTGATATCTCATATGGTACTGATAAATATGTATTGTTTGAAACCACTCACATCAACTGTTAGTGCTTAGAGGTCTAATCTAAACACCTGACAGCTATCTCCGTCATGTAGAGACGACCTCATCGATGATGTAGGCAGTTTGATTCAGCTGTGAGAGCCGAATCAGTTCACACTACTTGAATTCTAGGTGGCTTCATGAGTAAGCCAGTGTACCTATATAATGTTGAACTTGTCATCGTCTCTCGGTGTTTCGCTATGGATCGTACAAAGCAGGCTACTCGCAAATCTACAGGAGGAAAGGCCCCAAGAAAGCAGCTGACCACCAAGGCTGCCCGGAAGAGCGCATCAGCTAACGGTGTTGTTAAGAAGCCACATAATACAGGCCCGGAACCGTCGCCCTGCGTGAAATCCGTCGTTACCAAAAGAGTGCCGAATCGTTGATACGCAAGTTGCCTTTCCAACGTCTCGTCAGTGAAATCGCTCAGGACTTTAAGATTGACTTGTGTTTCCTAAGCTCAGCAGTTTCTGGTCTACAAGAAGCCAGTGAAGCCTACTTGCTTGGTCTTTTCGAAGATACCAACTTGTGTGCTTTCCACGCCAAGCGCGTGACCATTATGCCAAAAGACATCCAGTTGGCTCGTCGCATTCGTGAGCGTGCTTAAATGTTTGTTGGTTAGGAACCCAGAGAACGAAATGAAAATTCTTTACTGTCCATATCAATGACTAGTATTCACCACCCTTCCATTTTCCTAGTGCTGTTTATGTATGGTATGAAGCACGTCTTATCTGATTATTTTGTCTGCCCAGCGGAAACTGTGGTGAATTTTCATCTGGAACTATGGTGTTTATAGTAGACAACAGTTCTGATTAGAATTAGAATTCTGTTAAGAATTTACGCTGAACATTTTTATTGTATGCTTTCTGTTATATGATATTTTTTCACTTCATTGTTCTATAATGAATGAAATTAGGCATACTGTTAAAAGATCTCGTGAACAGGATGACTCCTCAGAATATCATCAAAACTGGTTGAATCCACGTTCACCGAATTTTCGACATTCTGGACAAAATAACATAATCTCACAGGTATTTATATATTTTCACTGTTTTGTCAATTTATTTTCATCAAATACATTCAGTATTGTTGTATGTGACTGGGAATTTAATTTCAGCACAAAACGTCTGTCTCAGTTGCATAGAAATACCCACACTTTTAGAAAACTAACTTCTTTGTTTTTAATATATTTATGCGTTGAAGTTTCTGTAGCAATTTGGTTAAGTTTTGAGGGTGGAGTTGCTAGCACCCCGCCCCAACCCCCCTCCCTCTTTATCCGGGCTTGGGAACGGGCTAGAAAACCAGCGAGCTAGTGATATAGGCAGCAACATCCAGTGCCAATCACCATCAACGTGAGGGATTTGAAAGAGGTTACTTCATTCACTCACCTAGGGAGGGAGCATTGTCTCAAATACAGGCAGTCGGAACGGACGAGGATGTCAAATCGAGCGAGAATCGGGAAGGCCAGCGAGATACACATTCACTTATCAACCTGACTGAAAGCAATCTGGAAATCTTCGTCACTCAGCCAGCATCAACAACAAAATTCGGTGGGATTTTCAATACAAACGTCAAGTCAGTCACTTCTTCTATACGGATCGGATCAGAAACTTGTCTGGTGGGTCACAGAATATTTCCAACAGCCTGTTGCAGACCAGACCTTTATCAACAACTGTCTTCGCTGGATCTATAGAGAAGATCAGATGGCCGAGTCGGACCGGAAAGAATCACCAACTATGGGAAACTGTGGGAACAAACAAAACAAAACAAGGAGCAATCGCCCAACAAATACGCAGGAGAAAGGTGAGACGGACTGGACACTCGCTGAGGAGGCCTCGCACTGGGTGACATCGCGCGTGCGTCAGGCCATTGGTCGAGTGGAACCAGGCCGAAAGGGAAGCGGCGAGTGGGTCGTCAGTGCAAGGGTGACATGGAGGAGATCGTGTGAAGAGGAGTTGAAAGAGTATGAACTAAAATGGATGAAGGTGAAAAGTACAGCAGAAGGAAGACAGAAGTGGCAAGTGGAGACGTGCAGTTGAAGCCCTATGTTCGACTAGGAACCCAAGGGAACAATAATAATAACTTCTTTGTTTGACTCTAACACACTTTTACTGTCCAATAGGCGTCCATGTATTTTTCATTATCATCATAGTAAACCGAAGATTATCTAAGCTTCCACCATGAGCACTTGTAAACGAAGTAAACCCTAGCTCATGAAATCATAAAAATTTTCATTTTTTTTTACTGATAGGAGTTATCAGTAGTAAGTGAAGAGACATTCATCGGCTTAAAAACACCAAATAGCTGGGAGATAGATTTGATGTCAGAGAAAGCGTTGCAGAGATACATGGGAGACTTGAAAGTAGCACAAAGGAACACAATATTTAGGAAGGTCAGAAATAGCACAACACGGAAGTTCTGTGAAAATGGTGCTTTGAAGAAAAGGTGTACATAATTTGGCTATACAGAGATACTAAGTCTTTTGTCCTCTACCGTTACAGTATAATCAGACAAGATCTTCTACAAGTTTATATGAATGCTTACGAAGACTTGTCATCTGAAGTGTGGACAACCACTGGTGTCCGTCATGGATGCCTAATGTGTCGATTTTTTAAATTTAATTTCATCATAGGTGTACTAATGCAACTGACCCTAACTGACTCTGGTGACTTACAGACATTAACTGCTTATCGTGGAACAGTCTTATTGACTTTGTGTATGTGGATGATATTCTCCTCTCAGGTGAAGACACTGAAAAAGACAGAGAGTGAAGTGGTTGGGTGTATCTATCACTTCACTCTATTACCATATAGTTCTAACCGTATATATATTATATATATATATATATATTATATATATATATATATATATATATATATAATTGAGATGTTGATTTGTGAGTTAACAATAAATGTCAAGTATTTGTAAATTTATGCAGTTAATTGCAATGGTAATAAAAATTAACGATAATAATACTAATACCAATAGATAGATAACAAAATTACAACTTGTTGATGCAGGTGTGGTGATAAGAATAATGAATACAGTCTGATAATGCAAACCTTTTTAAATATTAAATTAGTTTAAAATGTGATAAAATCCAAAGTTGCGTAATGTGAAACTGAAGTAACTTAGAAGATTTCTAGCTCATGTGGATGTTCTGGGTGTGGTTGTGTTTTTTCTGCTCTGGTTGGTTAAAGTGGAAAGCTTTTAATATCAATTAAGATTTGAAGCTGTTTGCATTTAGGGTAATTTTCGTTTCCTGTTGAACCATTTTTATTGGACAGGAATGACTGGTCTCTGTTGACACATCGACTCCTTGTATGAACGCTTTGATGATGTCAAAGTTTAACATGAAGTGACATGGTAACATCCAGCCGTCGAGTCTCCAGTAGGGCGAATCACACCTCCTGGATTCCACTGATAGGCACCATCAACCAAAAGTATCTGAAGCTATTGTCTAGGAAGATAACAGAAGCTTCAGAGTTATATATGTATAATATGAACTGTGTATACTCTTTATATGCCTCGATGGTTCAGCGGTAGGATGCTTTTCCACTACGCTCGTGGTTTTTAGGTTCGATTCTCGACCAGTGTACTCCTAAACCTCATCTAGTTTACTAACCCGAAGAGGAAAGGTTGCGAGTGAGGTAAGCAATCCCATCGTGGAAAACAATGCAGAGGTAGACAAACTACGCTTATTGAAGCCTAGATTAATAATTAGTACGTTTGATAAATAATGTGACTAAGTGTCGCTCGCCAGAATTAAATGAGTAAGTGGTTTCCATACTGTTTTAAAGATAGTTCTAAATCTTGAGGGTAAATCCATTTGTTTACATAAAGTATAATTATATTTCAATCATTTGTTTACTTTTAATTCAATTTTGTGATTTTCCCATTGACTGATCGGACCGAAATGTTCAGCCTTTGTTATAACATGTCGGCTTCTTGTGCGGATAAATCGATGACGTCTGCGCATTAACTTGAAGTAATTTGGTTGATGGTGACCAGCGGGGGAATCCAAAACAACGCACACTTCGTCCTGTTTGGGACTCATAATCAGGATCTACCCTGCATTACCCAGTGGGTGAAGGCGTTCCCTCCCACTGAAGCTCGAACCCAATACCTATTGTTTCTAACTCCAAAGCGCTACCCACTAAACCATTGGACCATTTGTTTAGTTTACATTTTTGTCTATCTACGTAGGCTGATTTTGTGCTCTTATTTTAAGTACATAGTCAATGTATTACCGTGTTATAGCGATGTGAAATTCTCTCTGGCGTGTTTGTGTGTGTTGGCATTTGCATTGTTAAAAAAGTTAAGTGTGCATCTTTTTCATATGGACAAACTAGTTAATTTATTTCCACTTTTATTTTACTCCTTTTATTTTCAATCTATAGGCCAGAGGATTACTGCTTATATTAAACAATATTGAATGGGTTGCGTGTCATGCAAATTATCGTCTACTTAATCTGTACAAGTCATTGGGTTATGTTTCAGTTGATCGATTGCAAACCACTCTAAATGAGGCCTGGGAAAAAGGCCGAAAAGATATATCTTCAAGATATGTAAAACTTCGAAGTGAATGGCTGTGTTTACCTCTTGAATCTTATTTACTCGATGACTTACCATCGCAGAAAAGAATGGTTACTAAGATGACCGAGGATATAAATGCAATAACTGGTATGTTCATTTTGACTATAAAAAAAAATGTATCATGATTTACCGTGACTTTTGTCTGCTTCGATGTTTTGACTACAGAAAAATAAAAAAAAATTATCTTCACAAAAAAGTTAACTGTAAGTATATCATTTAACTTGAATTTCCAGTTGATTGCACAGAAATACTCGGTTCTTGTAGGCATGTCAGCTGCTAGTACGGCCGCTTCTGTGATATCTAACAGTTAACGTGATGTCATCTAGTTGTTGGTAACTAACTTTGGAATCTACTATGAGCCAGAGTTGCAGGTGCATGAAGCTGACTGAATCCCAAGCAGAAAAAAGCAAGTTCACCTGTTGATGAATTCCATCTCACACCATCATCCATAAAAATGATGACAACGTGTAGAATATCGCATCTGTAGATGAAGTCGTATTCCACTATAATAACAGTAATGACTGTTCATCAATGGGACACTGAATTACATTCAATAAATGCCATTCAAATCTACAGAAAGTTCTTTGTTTATTTAAAAAAAATATTATATCTTATATTCTACTTTTTGGTTTTCTCTCTGTGTTTTTTCATTTTAGGCCTTCAAAATTCTTTACAAGAAGTCTTAGCAAATTTATCGCATATCTATTCTGAGTTGATTTTACTCATGGGACTGAAATCGATTAAGTCGTTCCGAAATAATTCTTTATCTGGTAATAATGATAAACCAACTTGTTCAATTGATGTTCAGGAAATTTTACATCAAATCATATATTATCTCATAAAGAATTTACACAGTCGTCTAGTGTAAGTATATTTTCTACACTTGTTATATATTAAAGGTTTTATCACCTATGCATCATAAATAGAGAGTAGTCTACTAGTCTAATCTCCATGCTCCTATAGAATTTATTATTGGGAAGTAGTACAAGGGGAGGGGAATGACTTAGAATGCATACAGCTACAGGTAACTAACTGCTTCCTTATTCTTTTCTCTACTTACCCAAAGCCTCATTATTACCCCGTTGTCCACAACAGTTGGTCTAAGCCACGTAGGAAGGTGTAGACTTCCAGGCTGGAGTCCTCGGGACGGTAAAAATCTATGGTTGGAAACAATTGGTGACATGGCTCAAAACCGTTCTCAGTGGCGCAGATGCATCCACTCCCTGTGACTTATGATCTTCAATGAAACTGTTTTGTATTTCTTTATTACTCCTTTGTCTCACACCTTTGCTCACTGTTTCTATTATGCTTTTCTTGTACTTTGTTCTCTTGCTTCGCGTGCTACACGGAATGTGGCGACTCGAACTTCCGCACATTTGTGCAAAGTTCTATGTCGAAAACAGACAGACAGACCCCGTTGTCTTGCTTTTTCCATGACCTTCAATCATTCTCTTTCTACTGGGAGATGTGTGACTGTCCTGTTATAATTTTCAGTGAATTTAACCCTTCTGATAACTTAGAAGATAAACTTGTAGAAGTGTTTTAGGTGTAATCTCAAGCACAATAATTTTATTTATTTTTTGTTTTGTTTTGATGAAGAATTTTAAGCTGAACATGTTTTTCTCTCGTCACATTCTTAAAACTGCTTCCTGTCAATCGTTTACAAGTGATGTCCATTTAAAAAAAATTTTTTTTATAGTACTTATTTCATCAAAACGCTACCATCTGTTTGCTGACATGTATGTGTAAATAGGCCTCCAAGAACTACTTGAATTTCGTTCCTGATAACGTGTTCTAACTGAATAGTCTGTTCAGTTTAGATTATCGTCTCATTGTACGGGTTAACAAATTGTAAGACTTATCTATACTCATGAGTGTTCTCATTCATTGTCTGTATAACCTCTATATCATCTAATACTTGACATATATAACAACTATTAGATTTTATGCAAAGATGACAGAAAAACATGCTCTAAAAGTGATACTGTTTATGCAACTGATACTTTTGGATGGTAAATTATTACTATTATTTATTATTATTTCCTTTAATTCCTAGAGGAACACAGGACTTCAGCCGCGCGTCTCCATTGCGTTTGGTTCTCTGCTAGAGTTTTTTCCTAGCTCCAAGTTTGCCCACATGCTTTCATCTCCTCTTCACATGACCTCCTCCAAGTCACCCTTGCACTGACGACCGACTCGCCACCCGCTTCCCTTTCGGGTTCCACTCGAGCAATGGCTTGTCTACTGATGTCAATGGCAAATTAGCTTTATCGAATTACTACCTCATAGTGTGTGTGACGTAGCAGTGTGTATCGGACATTCATCCAGACAACTTTAGCGTTATGATCTGTAGAAGCGTTTGTTTTATCTAGATTTGAAACAAACAAACAAAGTTCCAAATGCAAAACATTGCAATCTGACTGACAAGAATGGGTTTATTCATTAGAACTGTATTCACAGTTATCTGATCTCTCTCAACTAAAGGGATGACGCGCTGATTATTATAACTCAGTCGCGGAAAGACCTGTAAAGCATTTTGACACTCTTTTACAATTTCTTAGACTTCCTTCATAATTTATTCGGGTTATTTTTTTATAAGCAGATAGACCCTACATCTTCTTCACTTTGTCAGTTTACATACAGTGTTTGTTCAAAAACACTAAGCCCAACATTGGACATGTTCATTAGTTGTTGAGCTGATATGCACTTGTGTCCAGAAATAACAGTGCAAAAATACAACTGACAAAGAGTTTAAAAAGAAGCTGGCAAAAATATGCCACAAGGTAAATTTTTGTACTAGTATATCAGCTACATAACTTTGCTGTCAAAAGCTGTACCTTGTTGACATTCTTTCTTGCTATCGATTAAAGGATGTATGTACTGCACTTCCCTCTGTTCATCTTTATGAATCGAAGAAATAGACATTAGAAGCCGAAGATACTAAAAGGTTAACTGCCTTTGACCACAGATATTTGCGTCCTATCTCTCGTGTTAAGTGCCATAATATGGTCAGAAAGACTGAGGTTAGGCGTAGAGTGTTAGGTTAGTAGGATAAATGAATCGGTGGGGTTGTGGAGTTACACTGATTGAGATGGCTAGGAAATATTCCGAGCCATAGCCTTCCACGGCGACCGATGTCAGCTGACATAGGACTAGGCTGGAAAAGAGTTAAGGGTGTTCAACCCAGAAATCTGGAATCAGTTCATGGAGTGTTTGACAGTTGGTTTCAGCGGGCCACTTAGGTAGGTGTAGAGTGCCTCGTTAAGGTCCTCAAGATGCTAAGAAGGAGGAGACTTATGGTGATATAACTCGGAAATAGTTTTGGATAGCTCAGGTGTGTATTCACTCTTTGTAATTTCTCAAATCGACCAACCCCTATTGTTTTTCCCACTTTCCTCTCTCATATTTGTTCTCATTTTAGTTCTGTTGGATATCTGTTTTTTGTCTTTTTTGTATGCTGCGTGGAATGCTGCAGTTTGAACTTGTACAAAGTTCTGTATCGGATAACGTTCTTTCAGACTACATTTAACTTGTCCAAACGCGACTTCACTTTGTAGTTTTTTTTCAGTTGGGTAGACAAACATGGAATATATATATATATATAAGATTTTGTGTTTTATCATGATGACATAGTGCTTATTATTGGTGAAGTAAATAGTGTCGATCAGAAAGTAAAATCAGTATTTTAGCCTAAACATCAGTTCTTCAGCAGTCTTGATAGACTTGGGCTACCGAAAACCTCCATCAATATATTTTTTATTTTATTTATTTATTTTTGATTACAGCTTGATTCCACACCTTATTTTTGGCACAGGTATGGAATTTTCAGCATGTGATATCGGTAGCCCGAATTTTGCAGGCCAACCATAGATATCAGGTGTGCGTCGGCAGGTGCTCGAACCCCGGACCATGTGCATAGTCGGCGAGAGTCCTAACCGCTGTGCCACCGACGCGTATTATTTCTGTTATTCAGTTTGTTTAAATCTATTAGATTATGACCTCTAATGGTATTGTTAACTCTGGCGAGTATCTAAAACATATGCAACCTACTGATTCACAAGTTCCTATTAAACACGCGGACAAAAGCATTATCCTAGAATAGCTAAGATAAGTGTTCCTGAGTTGTGTCCTTGGTTCACAAAGCGTACTCTTAATTTTCTGTAATTGGCCTTTAACATAATGTGGTGTATATTTCTCAAAGGAGACAAAGATGAGATATCATAATGGATTGATTTGCGCTCCAGGTCATATAGAACAACAGTGTCACACGATATATACTGTCAATTAATCTTTTTTATTTAAAGATCCTGGACGATAAGGAAATATCATGCGATGAATTTTGCTTAAGATTCTTTACATTATGTAAACATTGGCAAAATTGAAGTATCATAGCCAAAGTCAAGGTCTTTTGAAGTTTGACCTTCAAGAACCGGTCATACATAGGGAAATATCATTCCAAGCCGATCATGCCTGCCCTTTTAGACTGGGAGAGTATACATGCAGTCGTCTACTTATTTACTAGATACTTTTTCTGCAAATCTACACTGTTAGGTGGAGTTATGGCTTTTAAGAATGAGGTTTAGGTTATCCTTAGGATTATGGACAGAATTAGGCGTAGGTTGGAGAATTATGGCAGAAATATCAATGGATCTCAAGGTACCATGACCTACAGTCAACTGGATGAATGGGTATATAGCGTATGGTACGATTTCCCTATAGATCATCTGTGAATTGACTGGGAGACATTCATTCAACACATAAGCTACAACTATACAGTGTATTATCAAGTTTGCAGTATTTTTTGGTGTATTTTTCAACGATTATGCGGCTCTTCTGCATCTGAGTTCTGATTGGCTGTTCAAGGTCACAGTGGTTTTGGCTTTGATAGTCTAACTCCACTCGAACATTGATCAGATTAAAGCTATTATTATTAAATTATCTATAAGTGATAGGTAATTCGTCTAATAATGAAGCTTTATTCAAAAGACTCTACATTTTTTACTGACTATCCGGAAAGAGAAAAAACCGACGCACCTTTAAATTCTTTGAATTTGTGCCGGAAATGCCTACGTCGCATAGTAGTAATAGGCAGTTTCAACAGTGCTATCGTCACGTATCTTGTTGGTGCGGCTGGTGAAGTGGACATATTGAAATCAATAGACAGTGTAAGAGATTATTTCTTAAATGTAACTTCTGGGCGTATTTTATTAATTTTCGACTCTCCTGTTAACCGACATCATTTGTTACCTTCACAGGCAGGTTGAAAATCTCTGTTTTTAATTATATATATATATATATTCATAAAAAAGAATTAGTGCGTGGAATTTCAATATTCGCATAACTTTTCAATTCATACTATGTTTATTATTCATTTAGTGAAAAAGGTACAACTGAATTATCGAAATTAGCTCAATTACAATTAACACTTGATTTGAATACAATGAAAACAATTATACCAAATCAATTGTTTACAAAGAAATCAAACGAACTGTTAAAGGAATTATGCAGTCGTTTCAATATTGAAATATCTCCACCGTTGAATCATTTAAGCTTTGAAGAATCAGAGTAAGTTGAAATAAAATTCTAATCGCCTTGCCTGAATGAGTGAATGTGTATCCTTTCTTATTATAATAAAATCATTTCAAGTATTATTTGATGTATTGCATATATGTATATAGATTTGCGTTGCTGTCTCTACATGATGTTAAATACCAGTGTGAAGAAAAACACCACATTTCATTGTGGCTTTATCAGGGAATAATGTGAAAATGCTAAAGAACAACGGATTTGGTTGTTTGTTTTCCCCGTACCACCTGTATTACTCTAATCGTAAAATGACGTGAACATTGCATACCAGACAGGAACAATCCATTAGGATTTTGATTCGATAGAAGAACTAGTTAGTAGACAAAAGAAAACGATTTGACAGGTTTCAACTAAAATAAAAAGGTGTTCAGTAATATTAGCACATATATATATATATATATATATATATATATATATCCTTAATCAACTGGAAAACAATTTCGCTAGGGTTTATCCAACCTTTGACTGATCACAGTCATTTTTGTCATGTTATAGGTTATGGTTATGATTATTACTATTATTTTTGTTCCCTTGGTTTCCAAGCGCAATATAGCACATCTCCATTTCATCGTCTTCTCCACAGTCCTATTCATCTGACCCCACGATCCCTCATAGCGCCTCTCATCTCTTCCTCACAGAATCTCCACGATGTCACCCCCAAACCTATGCCACACCCCCGTCGTTTCCATTCTGTTTCCACTTGAGCTAAGGCGTCGTGGTGGGCCATGTCAGCATGTGACTAATCCATCTCCTTTTTCTCTTGCATAAATGTTGAGTGGTAGGTTCTTGGTTAGTTTGTTCCCATAGTTTCCTTTTGGGAATTGGTTCTGACCGGTCATCTGTGATCTTTTTAACTATGGAGGTACGGAAGACAGCGGTGTATAAAGTTCTGAAGTAGGCTGTCGGAGGCGGTTTTAGTGACGCGCTGGCCAAGTTTCTGACGTATGTAGAAGCAGTGACTGACTTTACTTTGTTGTTTATGCTTTGGTGCGCAGGAGATCTCCAGACTGATTTCAGAGTAATCAACACTTATGTAACCTTTCTGATTCTTGTTTTGACACCCTGGCCCGTGCGCAGTGTTCATGGATCTAAAAGGATTCTGCCTAATTAAGTTATATTAATTTTCAAATGTTTCTGAGGTGTTTTGGTTTTGAAAACAAGGGTAAATATCATGCATCAATGTTGTATTTTGGTGTTTTTTTGTTGTTCTTCTAATCAAGCTTATCTGGATTTCTAAAATTTTGAGCATGTAGATGATGATGTAATGGTTTTCCTGTTGTTACTCTAACTAGATCACCAGTTGATACTGTTATTGATATTATTTTAGTCATCCTATGCACTTTGGATTACCTTTTCCTTCAGGTATTATGCGTATTATTTATATTTATATAGCAGTGGGATGAGATGAATAGAATTCTTCAATTACAGCAGATAATTAAACTTCTTAGTGGGTATTTAAAGTGGTTAAAACAGTATAGTTGTTAAATACAAGAGGTTTCCAGTGGAATTCGTTGTAGTTGCTATCATCATCAGGAGGAAATAACTTTTTAGGATTTAGAAAAAAATAAGTAAAGGATAATAAGAAACAAATACACGCTTGTTGTCATTGTAGTCAAAATCTCTATTACTTCAACTTACCACTGGTCAACAAGATGTTCAATAATCAGTTTAAGATAAAGTTTTTTTTGGAATAATTGTCGATTTTCTTCCGATCCCTGTGTCACACGGGAGCTCCATTAATGGTGGTATGGTTTTTTTGCAGGATATGGTTGTTAGCTCCGGTCGTAATATCTGCTACTGGTGGAAAGTCGAACCCAGACCTTCTGCGTTTGGTTGGCTAGCATCCTACCACTGAACCATCAGCACACAGATTATAGGTCACATTGTTCGATTCAAACAGCTGATGACGTTATCATGTCTCAAGGATGCGTTTGAATCTCTGTATTGAGCTAGCATCGAATTATTTTTTGAGGGAACTGAAAATTCATCTCAAACTGTTTGTTTTATTCAATTGATATTTGTAGTAAAAAGGCTAAATTTTTAAAAAAAATGTTAAATAAGTGATGGTATTTCTTTGATTACTATTTCAGACATTTATCCAAATTGCTTGAAAGAGAGAAAATACGAATGCGTCTCCTAATCAGCGGTCTATCTACGCTTCAGTCACAAGTAGCCTGTCGTTAACGCTTTATTCGTGTACACGCGCTACACTTCGTGATTTTAATTTATCTCTTCTCATATAATTCCCCCAGAATTCGCTTACTATCAGTTCTGTGATTGTTTCTGTGCAATTCGGTTGACTTCTTTTTTTTTAATCAACATTTTTTATACGCACTTCTGTTTAAGATAAATTAAATACAACTCATGAAAGATATTAATTAAACTGTTTTCTTTTGTGCGATATTAGTAAATTATTAGAAGGAATCACTACACACATGACTTAAAACGTCAGTGTAGCAAATAGAAATGTATTCATTAGATGTTCGATTGTTATTACAAACAGTCTCATATCAAATAAATAACTACTCTGGTAATGATAATAATAGTTAGATGTTGTCTGTTATAGTCAAATAAGCAAACTTGAACATTCTCACGGATGATTTCTGAGGTTACTCGTGGCACTTTTATAGGTACGTGAATTTTGATGTATGTCACGTGGTCACTATGCAGAATATCTTCAGGGGGGGTATTTTACGAAGTCATTATATCTAGAAGCTGAAGATGAATTCCATTGTTTCACTGTTCGCGGTTAATATTTTTTTTAATAATAATAATAATAATAACAGCTTTATTCCAAACAGTATTTGTGGTACAGGTATGGAATTTTCAGCGTGCATTACAGTATATTGCATCTAATTACCTCATAAATTATATAAGATTTTTAAAAATCAAAAATAAATAAAAATAAAATAAATAAGTTATAAATAAATAAAATAAATAAATATTAAAAATTAAGAAAAAAACAAACAGCGTAGAGTATTTCATTTCAAACAATGCACCACAGGATTTGAAATATAAAGTTGATGTGTGGTAGTAGATGAGAACAACAGTGTAGTAGTAACGAGGAAAGGAAAACAAAAACTAATGAGACTATTTGTTAGAGTGCCGCAGTAAGTTTATCGTGTCATACCTAACGGATTTCTCATCACATAACAGCTGTGCCAGATATGGTATTGTGGAGTTTTTGTATTTGGTAGTCCTAGCATATAGCCTCCTATAGCTGCTTCTAGTTCTTCCAGATGAAATGCAAGGAGATAGATGCGTATAGAGAGGATGCTCGGGGTCCGACAATATTGTATTCGCTAGTTTCTTACATGACATTATATGTCTATCTACAATAGTGTTCACCAGTTGGTTTAACGATATCCCACTTGCCCTACTAACAGCTTTTAGTGCCCTTCTCAGCGAAGCAAAGTCTTTCTTAAGTAGTCCAGGAAAGACTAATGGGGAGCAGTAAAGGAGGATGGGTAGAATACAAGAATTTACAAACTGAGAAAGTAAAGACTGCTTTATACCAGACTGCCTAAATTTCCTAATGTAGAACGTTAAGCGAAACATCTTTCTAGTAACTAGCAAGATGTGGGAAGACCAGGAAAGATCGGTGGAAAAACTCAGCCCAAGGTACTTGACATAAGATGTATTTTCAACCTCTGTGCCGTCAATGAGAGTGGGGCCATGTGAGCTAACTAGTTGCTGTAGGTCACATTTACGTCTGAAAGTGAAATTGACTACCTGACATTTAGACGGATTAAGCTTAAGTCCGTTTGAAGAGGACCACTGACTAATTTCCGACAGAAAGCTATTTAATTTGGAACAATCTGACTGAGAGTTGACAGGCATAGAAACCGAGAGGTCATCGGCATATTTAACAAAAGTGGCTACATCAGAATGAGGCAAGTCATGTAAGAAAAACGAGAACAGAAAGGGAGAAAGAACAGCACCTTGAGGAACACCAGCTAAAGTAAGTGAGGTAGTGGAGGATTTTCCATTGTAGACGGTGTACTGCTTCCTTTCAGAAAAATAGGAATGCAACCACTTATTTGTCCAGCTTTCAGCCTGTGTTGCAGCAAGCTTACTTAGCAAGAGAGACCTGGGAACAGAGTCAAATGCAGATGTGTAATCAAGGAAGGCACAGCGAACGTATTTAGCTCCTTTATCTAAACTAGAGACTATGCTATGGTGGAGGACGACAGCGGCATCTAACGTACTCCTACTATGTTTATAAGCAAACTGGTTGGGGTCGTTGAAAGGTTTTAAAGAGGGATCAAGATTAAGTAAAATAAGTCTTTCCATAACTTTCAAAAAGGGTGAGGTAATTGAAATGGGTCTAAACTTAACATTAGGTCCACTTGTAGATTTAGGCACTGGAACGATCTTGATGTTTTTCCATGATTCAGGTATAATACTTTTGGAAAACGATTCGTTGAAAATGTCAGTTAACGGGGAACACAAGATGTCGGCACACTTCTTAAGGATAACAGCAGGAACACCATCAGGACCGAGGGACTGAGTAGGCTTGAGAGATTGAAGACACTTGAGGACATCATTCGTGTTAAAGCATGAGAAGCAGTCATTGTTTACACTATTTGAGTTAGGAATCATAACATTTGCTGGGATACATATGAAGGATTCATTTAGCATGTTAACATCTACAGAAATATCATTCAACATTTGCTTACCACCTGTGATTTCCTTTAATAACTTCCACATATTTGATGGGGATTTACATGAAAGAAACTTCTGGTTATAGAGAGCATTCAATCTTTGTAATTCAAGCTTAATCAAAGTGTTCATTCTCTTAACACCAGATTTGTTTTTCATTTTGAACAACCTTTCTTTTTCACGGCGGAGCTTTTTGAAATGAGAAGAGGAGAAGCGATCGAATTTTAAGAAGATTGTCTCTTTTGGACAACAAACATCAAGACAGAAATTAAGATAATGTGTTATGTTGGCAATTGTGTTATCAAGAGCTTGTTCAGTAAATAGATCCCAGTTTGTGTCTTTTAACATGGACCTTAGGTTCAGTATGTTGTCATGGGAATAACATCTGTGTTGTGTTTTCTTTCCAAGGTATGAGAAGACCCTTTTGTGCTGCTTTCCATATACTTTGGGCAATATTCTTATGATACAGTGATCTGAATTTAGTAGTGGGGCTCTTTTTCGAGCTTCAAATATTCCTGCATCGTTTGTAAAAACAAGGTCAAGAGTGTTGTCCATTCTAGTCGGGAAGTTGACAATATTATCGTGTCCAAGTGAAATTAGGAAGCTGTGGTCACTAGAATTAAAATCACCAGTAACTATAGACAAGGAATTTCCGAAGGAGGTGGCAGCAAGGGAAGTAAATTCATCCGCAAATAAAGATAATTCTGTGGAGTTGCATCCAGGAGCAATATACATGTTCGAGATGTAAATGTAGTTGTATTTTGACAAATGTTTAGGTCGACACTTAACGGTGAGACAGTCAATATTGTCACTAGAGAATTTGAAACATACATTATTAGACGTACACCATTGTGAATTGATGAAGATGGCGACACCGCCACCGCGTTTCTTCCTGGAACTACACCGATCTTGTCTGAATAGTTTGAAATTATTTAGATACACTAGATTGTCATCATATGATCAATATTCTCATCATCATTTACCTTATACGAAATATTCAGTCGATAAATAGTAACTGCCTAATCACCGTAGAGCTTTGCACAAAAGTGCTTCAGTTCAATTTATCACAAATCTGAAAACCGCACATGTAAGCAGAGAAAATTAGATCTACGAGAACCGCCATAGGATACTATTATTATTATTCCCTTAGGTTCCGAGAGGAACATAGGACTTCAACAACACATTTCCACTTTGTTCTGTTTTCCACTGTCCTCTTCAACTGGGCCCACGATTGTCCGTAATATCTCATCTCCTACTCGCATGAACTTCTCCATTTCACCCTCGTACCGACAACCCACTCGTCGCTTCCCATTCGGATTCCACTCGAGCGATGGCTCCACTGAGCTTGATTTCATTCGACGGTCTCCCCAACGTATGCCGATCTATCTCCATTTTCTCCTATATATTTGTTGGGCAATCGGCTCTTGGTTTGTTCGTCGCTAGAGTTTCTTGTTGCTAATTCTCTCTGGCCGGCTGGCCATTTGACCTTCACTATGGAGCTAGCGAAGGCAGCTGTTGATAAAAGTCTCCCACTTGTTGGATAAGTCGGGATGAGTAACTTCTGATGTCTACCTTTTCTAAGCTCTGATCCCGAGATTAGGAATGTTGCGCAGCTTACTTGCTGATTGTCCGATTGAAATATATATATTACTGCTCTTACTATCCTGTCAGCTAGCAGTAAAACCTTACCTCAACACCCCGTTCCATGCCGTAAGTAATCTAACCTGTATTGGCAATTGAATTTGGCCAATCAGCTACGTGGATAATATTTGTAAAATTTTAAGATTCGCGAAAACATTTCCACCTAACAAAATTCAAGTCTTTGCTGTATGCAAGCAATGAACATCATTTCAAGGTAGAGGCTGAAAATCTCCTACTCTAAATTCAAAGTTACCTCATAGCACCGTCTGGACACTGAGCAGTATTACAGAAATTAGTCGTTAACTACCGTACATATTGTTGAACACAACCCTCCTTATAAGGCTGCTCAGACTAAGCATTTTTTTACAATTGTAGTGCTATTCTGAGTAGTATAAAGAAAATAAAGTCGAAACACACCTCCATATTGAAATGAAAAACTGATTGATAAAATTACACTTGTGAGTAATTTCCGAACCGACACTGTCGGGATCGACAAACAAAATTATGCGTTTTGTTCTCTCTAAGCATTTGTTTGCATTTCTTGCTTAGTGCATGCATAAAGTCTTAATGACTTAGAGTCTTACCGCATTGTTGTCATTTTGTGCCTTCCGTTAGTAATTATCATATAATAGCTAGTCTACATAATGAACAAGTAAGTATATGTGATGCTTTTTTTAAATTTCATTTTATTACATTAGCGGGATTTCTTCGTATACTCCCATTAAGTTTATAAGAAAAGTGTGTCTAGTGACTAAAATTAAACTCGTAGTAAATGACTTTAACTAGTACAAGAGCTGAATTAACGGGGATGAAGAAAAGAATCCATTATATCCCATCGCTTCTATTTTCGGTTTCACAGAAGCGGTTTTCAACAAGTATCTATAGGGTAAAAATCATTGAAGTGATAAGATAAGCAGTGTAGACTTGGGTGCTTTAAAGAAAACAGAATTAATGAATTATATTCCTTTACTTTAGCTACTCTTGAATTTTGGTGTGAAGAAACTACAAATGGAAATTATTAAAAAGCGGAAAATTAGTTAAGGGGAATAACAATAAACAAATTTAATTAGTAA